AATATTATTATTACCATTATTATTATTACCATTATTATTATTATTATTATTACCATTATTATTATACTATTATATATACTATTGTTATCAAATAAGACACATCAAAACAAACTGTTATTTAAAGCTTTATTAAACATTTCATCTTTGACCCATATGCTAAAGTGCACATATTTAGGTCAGAGTGGGTGAGTTATAATTAGCCAACCCATTTACATTCATCTGCAGTCTGATCTGAGTGTATTTACATTGATAAACCAAACTGTCTTTTCCAACAGCATTTCTTTTTTGGAGAAGACGTTAGCTCTGCTGTTTTGTTGGTTTGTTCTATAAAGTGGACTAATAACATTGACCTTGAAAAATTTTAAGATTTAAACCAACTCTAATCAAGAGAAATTAGAACAAACACCAAATATTATTGGAAATACTGTAAGAAATTGTCCCAGCTCTGTTAAACTTATTCAAAAAAAGACAATAATCCCACAGATGATAATAATTTTGACTTCAACTATAATATTAGCCCAACTTAATTATTAACCATCCTGTATATTTTCATTTCTGTTTAACAGAGAGCAGATTTATTCAACACATTTCTATTCATAATAGTTTAATAACTCATCTCTAATAATTGATTTATTTTATCTTTGCCATGATGACAGTAAATAATATTAGACTAGATATTCTTCAAGACACTTCTATACAGCTTAAGGGACATTTTAAGGCTTAACTGGGTTAATTAGGGAAAAGTTAGGGTAATTAGGCAAGTCATTGTATAACTGTGGTTTGTTCTGGAGACAATCCAACACTAATATTGCTTAAGGGGGCGAATAATATTGACCTTAAAATTGTGTTTAAAAAATTAACAACTGCTTAATTAACTACACTGTAAATAAACCACATAATAAAAAGTCATGACAACTTATATTTCTTTTTATATTACTTTGACTTAATTTAGAAAGTTATACAGTTTTTAAGTCAGCTTAATTGATGCAAGGTCAAATTACTTTAAAAGTTAAATTGTTTAACTTAAAAATGCAAGTGAGCAGGATATGTTTATACAGTGTTTACAGTCGAAGTCAGAATTATTAGTCACCTTGTATATTTTTCCCCAATTTATTTTATCTTTGTCATGATGACAGCACATAATATTAGACTAGATATTCTTCAAGACACTAGTGTTCAGCTTACAGTGACATTTAAAGGCTTCACTAGGGTAATTAGGGTAAAGTTAGGGTAATTAGGCAAGTCATTGTATAACAGTGGTTTGTTCTGGAGACAATCCAAAACTGATATTGCCTAAGGGGTGAATAATATTGACCTTAAAATGGTTTTAAAAATTTAAAACTGCATTAATTCTAGCCGAAATAAAACAAATAAGACTTTCTCCAGAAGAAAAAATATTATAGAAAATCCTGTGAAAACTTTCTGAATTTGTTAAACTCATACAAAAGACTACCAATTTCACAGATAGGATTAATAATTTTGGCTTAACTGTAAACAAACGACATTATAAAAAGTCATGACAACTTCTGTGCTACTTTAACTTAATTTAGAGTTATTCAGGTTTCAGCTCATTTTTTAAAGTTAAACAAATTTTAACTTGATGTTTTAAGTCAGTTTAATTGATCCAAATGACTTGTAAATATAGGGATATACAGTTACATATACAGTAACATATACAGTTCATGTGATCAGCCAGATTATCGAGTACCGATTGAGTCAAAAAATGTGATTATCGGCCGATATCGATCTCCGGCCGATTGATCGGAGCATCCCTACTTATAAAGTTAAAATGGTTCAACCTAAAAATTGAAGTGAGCGACAAATTTTTACAGTATATATATATATATATATATATATATATATATATATATATA